TCAACTTCAGTATTAGGCATTTAAATGACTCAAGGCAATGTGAGACTCGCTCCCACGGAGGGTTGGCGGCGAAGGAGAATGTGGGACACCCTCCCACGGGGAGTGGGTTCGGGGAATGTGGGACCTGCTTCTGTCTGGGCGGGGAATGTGGACCTTGTTCCCACAGGGAGTTGGGGGGGAGATGGATATGGGACACATTCCCACGGGGCGTTGGCGGGGGGCAGAGGATGTGGGGCTCACTCCCACAGGGAGTGGGGAGAGAATGTGAGACTGGCTCCCATGGGGAGTTGGTGGTGGTTGAGGGGGGTGGTTTGCAATGTGAGACTTGCTCCCTGGACAGTGGCAGCGAAGAATGTGGGAGCGAGTCCCACAGGGAGAGGTCGAGATGAATTGAGTCAATATTTTGGGGACAGGGGAACTTGATAAATACATGAGGGAGAAAAGGAGATGCTGATGGAAAGGGAGAGATGATGGTAGGAGGAGGTCAGTGTGGAGCCGATACAGAGCAGAGAGGCCGAATGACATTTCCCTGCAGCATAAAATGCAGAACTTTAGTGGGAATTGGTGAGAAGCAGATCCATTAAATGGATCCCAAACAATGGATAAGGACAGTGAGGCCTTTGGCAAGATAATGTTCTGTAACTGAGGGGCCAGGGTTTAAAATGAGCAGCATATTCCACAACCCTGCATATTACAGCAATCACAGCAAAATCTGCATTTCTTGACTTGACTCATTCGCTTCTGTCGCAGCAACATGGAAGCCTGGAAAAGATGAAGGCCAAACAGTCAGAATGTTCCGGAAAGAAAGTGGTTCCCACTCCCTTTGACACTACACCAATTGTGCAATGTCATTCACTGGCACGGAGAGCCCACAAATCTTCAGCAACTTTCATCACCGAACAGCTGACAGAGAATTTTGTTTTATTGTTGTTAATGTAGGAAACAAAGCTGCAAATTTGCGCACGGCAAGCTCCCACAAATTGAGAACATCTGGATCATATGTTATTAATCAATACTGACAATCCGGCAGCACGGCACTCCCTGAGCATTGACCGTCCAACAGTGCAGCGCTTCCTCAGCACTGACCATCCGACAGTGTGGTACTCCCTCATCACTGACCCTCCGACAGTGCGGCAATCCCTCAGCACTGACCTCTGACAGTTTTGGCCCCTTATCAAATTGTGAAGTCAAATGAAATGTTGGTATGTGTTTCAAAACTGAATGGACTACAAAATAGGGAGGTTTTGCTAAAACTATACACGATTCTAGTCAGACCACAGCTAGAATATTGGAAGCAGTTTTGAATGACTTTTCTTAGCATAGAGACACTGACATTGGAGGAAGTCGAGAAAAGATTTATTCGGCGAGTATTGGGGGGACTGTATTTTGAGGAGAGGTTGAGTTGATTGGTCTTGTACTAGTTGGAATATAGAAGAATGGGAGGAAGAATGAGAATTTATTAAAAATCGAAGATTATTAGCAGACTTGACAGGATAGATGTGG